CTAATCAAAAAGCCTAATTTCGGAAATAGAAGCCATAAAAGTCTATTGCGCAGTACGATTTCACGGCCACTGACACATTCGGCACTATTTTTCGAAAATGGAAGCTTGAAACCGAAAAAAAATATCCAATCCCGTTATGAAAAAAGCCACGCTACGCGAACTAGTGGAAAAATCCGGTTCACGAAACCTAATTGAAAAGATAGAAGCCAAAAAAGTAAATTGCGCAGCACGATCTGAGAGCCACTGACACATTCGGCACTATTCTTCGAAAACGCGAGCTCGAAACCGAAAAAAAATATTCAATCCCGTTAAGGAAAAATTCCCTCTACGCGGATATATAGAACAAACCTAATCAAAAAGCCTAATTTCCGAAATTGAAGTCAAGAAATCTATTACGCAGCACCATTTCACAGCCACTGACACATTCGACAACTATTTTTCGGAAACGCGAGCTCGAAACCGAAAAAAAATATCCAATCCCGTTAAGGGAGAATTTACTCTATAATGTTATATTGAACAAACCTAATCAAAATGCCTAATTTCCGAAATACAAGCCATAAAAGTCTATTACGCAGCACGATTTCACAGCCAGTGACACATTCGGCACTATTTTTCGAAAACGCGAGCTCGAAAGCGAAGAAAAATATCCATTCCCGTTAAGAAAGAATTTCCTCTATGCGGATATATAGAACAAACCTAATCAGAAAGCCTAATTTCCGAAACAGAAGCCAAGAATGTCTACTACGCAGCACGATTTCACAACCACTGACACATTCGGCACTATTTTTCGAAAACGCGAGCTCGAGACCGAAAAAAAATATCCAATCCCGTTAAGGAAGAATTCCCTCTACGCGGATATATAGAACAAACCTAATCAAAAAGCCAAATTTCCGAAATAGAAGCCAGAAAAGTCTATTACGCAACACGATTTCACAGCCACTGGCACATTCGGCAACTATTTTTCGAAAACGCGAGCTCGAAACCGAAAAAAAATATCCAATCCCATTAAGGAAGAATTCCCTCTACGTGGATATATACAATAAACCTAATCGAAAAGCCCAATTTCTGAAATAGTAGAGGAAAACTTCTATTACGCTGCACGATTTCACAGCCACTGACACCATCGTCACTAAATTTCGGACACGAATGGTGGAAATCATAGAAAAATTGGCACACGATATAGAAGTAAGCCTAATCATCGCTGTTATAATGAAGAAACCTAATCTGAAAGCCTAATTACGGAAATATAAACGATATAATGGAACTGTGTAGCACGATTTCACAGACACCTGTGCTTCCTTCACTTTATTTCACATGTGCACCTTCACTTTTTTCCACATGTATTATGCTAGCATCGAACAAATGTTTACAGTTATTTATCCTGTTCTTGGTAAAGTTCTATCTTGTGTTGTGGTCCTTTTGTACATATCACGACGATATTACAAAAGTCGTTCGATGATTCGAAATAATAACTGATACTGCGTATTATTGTTCTTGAAATTTCTTTTGTCAGTTGCAGTAATTAATACTGATCAAAGATAACACTATTTCATAAAACGTTTTGTTCAGGGACTGAAAGTTTCACTGTAACGCGTGTAAATATTGCATCATGTGCTACAGGCATGTTGGATACGCGTCCACTAGAAGTGTTCTGCGATTGGACAAAGCTGTGCCTTGTTTTCGCGGGAAGATTGAAAGAATTAAAATGGTTAAAAGAATTTAAATCAATTAAAAATATAAACTTTATTTTACTAATAAACATTTTTAAAGCAATAATTGATAGTCATATAATTGCAATTTGTTATATAATATTATACAATATTTTTAGTAAAATTAATTTTTACTTATTGTTAATTATTAGAATATTTAATAGTTAAATATAGGTACGTAAACAAAACTTTCATAATTTCAATAATTACAATGAATAGAGTGAATGAATTATTTAACTATACAAACTACTAAAGAACATAAATAAAACTCAAACAAAATGAAATGTTTTGATAATCCTTTATTCTACTGTACAGTATTATAGTATTTTGTTTTACAGTTCGTATATATACAATTATATTATACGGCGGTTGTTTTGTAAAAGATCCTATAAGTTACATCAAGCTTTGTAATTTTTTATTTATATACAAACTTGGTAAAGAATTTGTGTTTTTCAATGACAAACGATCGATTGTGGATCGTGATTAGATGGACATGACCTTTAATTTTAAATCAAACATACATACAAACTACATTTTTGAGTATTGTAAATAGATGCGCATTGACGTCACGTTGAAATCTCAATAATAGTATTACAAAGCTTACACTAAGCTCTTTGTCTATATGCTTCTATTTATCATAAATAATGTATTATATATTTTGGTGAAATGTTTAATCTTTTAAATTCTTCTTAAATAAAAATTTATAAAACTATAATTATAGATATTTCGGTCAATATCATTTTATATTAAGAATGAAATAAAGTTCATTCGTGATTCATTACAATTCTTTAATTTCTAATCCTTCCTATGCTATTCATATTTTAAAAATATTTGTTGTAGATATTATTCTTGTTTATATTATACAAGATTAGTAATATGCGCGATTTCAACATGACGATACAAGGCACGATCTAAAGCATAAAATAAAATAAAATAAAATAAAATAAAATGCGACACATTACACTTCAGTCTAACAATAAAACGATCACAATACACATTTTACGACTATCTAAAGTATAATATTTCATTCTTCCCATCTACTAAACGTGATTATTGTTAGAACGACAAAATGTACAATAACACGTTCAAAAATGATATAAAACACAATTTACAACTATTCAATTCTTTTCCTAGAAGACCTAGGAAAATAACCCCATCAGATCATTATGCGAGTATTTCATTCGCTTATATCAACAACATACAGTAACATAGTTAATTAACAAATTGATTTTAATGATAATTTCAGATGCTTGTGAAACAACAAATGATACGCAATTGGTAAATCCTACGCCCCTCTTTCTTTCTTCAACCATTCCTTTTCACACATTAACACATTGCTATCCACTAAAATATTACATGAATGATCCTCCAACAGAATAGAAAAATAACTACATAATTACAAACCTGAATTTTTTATGTGATATACATTAATAAATTGATACTTTATAATTAGAAATTTGGGAATTATAACTCTAATTTTAAAGAAATTAAAATATAGTAGTGAATACAAATTTTTATATGGAAAAATAAATTAGAATATATTTTTAGTTGGTAAACAATGTGTTAACAGAAATTATAATCAAAGTTTTATATCCATGAATCTATGTAAAAGACGATACTGTAAACTTTTAAATTTGGCCACAGATGCGAGAAACTCGCGGTGAATTATTTGCTAATGTCAAATGTCATGAATGTACACAATGAACACATGTGAATACAGCACGTCTTAACTTTTGAACTTTCAAATTTGCTTTTATATCTGTAATAATTGACAAAAGGAGATTTAAAATTATTTTTTCTTGAAATGAGTATTTTTTTTGAAAACGTAATTTAAAAAAGTCATTTATCGGAATTAGAGATACTCAACTCATCACCTAAGTTTCAATTGTATTTAATATTAGAATGAGATAAAAGGAAAAGTAAGACGAAAATCTAACGGATTTATTACAATTGACTCACAACCTAAATTAGTAGATAAATTGAAAGTTAAAACCTAAGAAAGTATTATTCACACGTGTCTTATAGAAAGTGAGCAATAGTACACTGGTTAATAATATGAAAGAACGATTCTTATCTATGGGATGTGATTCAGTGTTTATGACATGCTAGCAGTAAAATTGTACTCTGAAAGCTATTTCTTCAAATTAATGGAGTAACTGATTTATCTCAGTTATCAAGAACATTAAAACTTCAAAGAACAATCAGTAGCAATGTACTTTGCGCATTAAAAATTAATTGTCACGTTTCGAAACTTGTAAATGATTAAATTGCTTGGTCCATTTTTTCTCGAGTATGCGCATAAATATTTTTTCATAATATAATACGTCCTTTCGATTTCGGTTCAAACTACAGTATTTTAGCTGAATTTCAAATTTCACAAAAAAAGAAATATAAATTACTAATGATAACAATTGCAAATGCAGAGAATTGTTTTAGTTTAAAAAAAATGTCAAACTTCTATTATTTGTAGCTTAAGATTCATATAAAATTAAAAATTAATTATTAATAATAACATTTTTTGATCTGTCTTATTCGATAAAAGAAACAGAGTATTAAAAAATAGTACAAGCTCCTGTTCACGTATATGTATAAACAACGTATTGAAAGTAAGAAAGATTGTAGGTCGATTTTTATAATGACTTAAACGTAATGTGAGTCATAAGATTGTAAAAAATTTAAAAGTAACAAAACATAAATCGTTTTCTATCCTAATATTTCAAAAAAAGTTATATTTTCTACTATTAATAATTTCAATTAAAATAACAAAAAATACAACGTATAAGATTGATATTTATTTCGCTTAACTTATTAGTTATTGCGATATACGTTGTATGCACGCTTTTTAGATATTTTGCTTACGACAAAGACGGTAAAAAAACTAAATTCTTAATAATAATGATAATATCAATAATACTAATAGTAATAACTAATAGGATCACATCTTTGGTACACGATACGTCAGTTTCAACAAACTTAGCTAGCTTCTCTATCAATATACGGCAAGATGGGCGAAATTAGATTATTTATCTTTGCACTAAACTCTCATTGTTATTAATATCATAAACTTTCGGAACAGGGCAAGATCTTTGTTTTCATTACCACTCATGTATCCACTTTCTGCCAAATAATTTGTCATCTAAAAACGACTATTTTACATCTGTGTAACAGTCTTCATTTGCATTATTAAATTTCTCTTAGATCCTTAATAATAGGGTTTTAGAAAGTTTCTCATTTCTTCAGTATCGTAACATTTGTCCCTTTTCGGCTCACATTATTTAGAATTTGATAAATTGTGCCGCTTCAAAGAAATGTATCCTACAGAGAAACATATAATGATATATAATGTAATGATATACGTACTATAAATTACAAGAATATAACATAATAAAATAATTAAATATAATATGATCTAAACATAATATAACAATTTTAATATTATATTTATAGAAACGAAAAGACTATACCTTACCTAATTATGTGGAATGTTCATAATGAATTAACATATACTCGAAATTCCATGAGTCAAACTCTTTTCAAGGACAATGTGAAATTCGCTTAATGGTTCAAGAATATGAATAAGGAAATTCAATAATGTAAAATTTCTTAAAAAGGAATTTTCTTCATACATGTCCGCAGTAGAACGCGCTTCGCTCATTGGCCGTAGCATCGAATGAAGAAGCTGCTCTCTAAAATAAAAAAATAATAATTAGATATACAGAAATATATTCGACAAATATTTAAACTATTAGAATTACAATTTACCTTGCTGCTAAGCAAATGAATAACTGAAATTTTCCATCTTTACCAAGAGTCTGACTGAACATATTAATTTGATCAATAAGATGACAATAACATCTTAAAGTCGTAAATCTTTGACTGTTTTTTGCATGAAGTCGTCTATCTCTATTTAGCCTCTGGGAATATTCATCCATTTCTTCCAACAAAGAAATTTCAAAATTTTCTTTCACACGCACTAAAATAAATAAAGAAATTCTCCACCTTGTTTATTTGATAACAAAAGGTTTTATATCAAAAGTTTAACAAAATGATAATGACTGCAAAGAATAACTTACAGAGATAATCCCAAACATAAAAATTCCTTCCAAATATCCTTTGGTTTTTAAATCCAAATAAAAATATTTGCTCTAATGATGGTACAAGACCACCTTCTCCACAAAGTAGAGCAGTCAAAGAACCATCTTGACATTCTCTTCTATAGTGGAATTTGACAATAGCATTTACAGATTCACCTAAAATTCCATAAATATTCCAAATATTTTAAACTCATTTCTTAAAAATTTACTACTATAAACATAATTTGTATATATTATTAATTACACTGGTATAATCTAAATATTTAAATTTTTTTTCACATTATGACGCCAAAAGTATTTTACTAATATTTACCCAACATATGCTGCAATTCGACTTGAGACAATATTGGACGTCTAGGTATGCTCGGAGATCTACATCTTGGTGGTGTTGAACACGATTCAACCAATTCTTCGCTATCAATACTACGTGGTACCAAAGCGCCTACTAATAATCTTTCAGTAGATCCGTCATCAATACCTCTACCAAGCCATCTACCACAGGGAAATTTAAACGTATGCCCTGTAACTTCATTTCTCACTACAACGTGTTCTACCATCCATTTAGGCGAAAGGCCTGTATTGTCATGTCCTATACGTAATGTAGAGAGAACGCCCAAATTCTTATGCTACAATGAAAATTATAAAATTACATTTAAGTTGTTAAAAGTATTGATTATTTTACTATTTTAATATTTCTCAAGGTTTAACAAATATTCTGTTTAGGATTCTCTTGGTTATTAATTTGTATAAATGGATTAGAACATACATGAAACACAAATTCCAATGCTCCCTTCGGAATCGGAACTGGATTTGTTTCACAAAGCGTGCCAGAAATAGCGATCCAGCTGTTTGCTGAAGTAGTAGCTGCACTAGCTTTTCGAGTAGGAAATATAACGACCCTGTATGGCAATTTTGTAGTTGGATAATTGTTAGTAAAGCAGAAATAATCAACAGCATTCAGTGTTAAAAGATGATACAAGAATTGCTCCTTCTCTTCTTCACAACGCAAAAATGCCGAGCGCTTATACTGACTTCTAAAAACAAAATAACATTTTTTAATATTATAATAAACTCATACATATATTTCTTCGAAATTTATAAATTACCTTAACAGCCTAGTATCCGATAACAGAGTTTTCAAATGGCGAGAAAGAAGTTTTTTTTCAAGTGCTAATCGGACCCAAGCTCTGGCATATCCAATGTGCGTTTTAATATCAGTCATCGCTTGCACGTTCCGAATATCGAAGAGCAAGGAATCAGGTAAAGGCCTCAAGTGTTCAGGACCAATTTTTCTGTCACCAGGGGATTTATGCTTGTCCGTGCCACGTGTAGGAGAGTCGATTTCCAGTGCCAAATTTGGTAGATCTATTATTGTTAACAAACATACACATCGAATTAAATAATAATTCTAAATGTATAGAATAATTGATATTCGTTTATCACATTGCTATAAAAACATTTTGAACACTGCATGCAAACAATAATTTCATGCTTCAAAAGAAGACGAAAAATATACACCGAACAAATAACTTTAGGCATTCCATGTTCTAGATCTTCAGTTTCATCTTCAAATTTCAATTTTAAAACATGCTCACTATAAAAATTTTAATACAACATCGTTATTATTAAGAAACAATAAAAATCATTTTTTTGTATTATACATTTACGATATCCCTAAGTATTAAAAACTGTTTTTTTAATATTTAAAATGTCAATGGCATATCATGCGCTTTATTGAAATTTATAATAATTATTTGATATAAATTTAATAATAATGTTAGAGTAAAAGCTAAATAAAATTTAATGTTCCTATGGCAAGCCAACATCAGGGCTTACCATTAAAATTCTCCTTGATATAAGAAGCAATCTCAAAAATATTTTTGCCCTTTAAGGATGAAATTAAACGGTCCGGTAATCCAAAAAACTTACTTGACGATTTCTTGGCTATTTACAACACAAAAAAATGAAATAGAAATAAAATCAACTAAAAAAGAAATACCGTTCTATGTTTAAGACAATACCACAATTTGAAAGGCAACAATTTTTAATTAATAGAATTTAATTAGATTAAAGAATTAATTTTTATTTTATTATGATAATACAAATAACATTATTAACTTACATAGATATAAAGCATATATTTAAAAAGATTTATATGATATTTTAATCATGTTTTGAAACATTTTATCTACTTTCTGTATTACCGTCATAAACAAAGAACAATATATGTAAAAAAATAACATATTTAATTAAATGCTTTTATCAAGCATGTACTATAATTGTAAATTATTGTTCATAATAGCAAAGTAATATATTTAAAAAAAAGCGATTTTATGAAATCAATATTCTTTTGAAAATAGCTGAACGTTTTCTTTGATGTAATATGTGCAATCTTAGCAGAAACATATAGAGTCAAATAAATAATTATTTATCAATAATGTGTCACTTACAACTAATACAGTGCAGAGTATCTACGTATGAGAAACTAATCTCTACTTTTAACACTTTATTTGAAATAAAATAAGACACGTACAATCGAGTCGTTTCCGCAGCTCGCACCACGCTAACGCTGCATTTCCAAATATCATAAAATTTAATGAATGCTATATTTCCGATAACAAAGTACTATTTTATAAGAGATATTAAAATGTAATAATAAATTTTAACTCACCAGGAGAAAGAAAGTTAGGATCTATGGGTTTACTTGGGTCGTTACACTCTTCTAATGCTTGATACATAGTAAGATGTGACCAAAGAGCACTTTTCCCCTGTTTGTTTTGCAATCCATGACTCCAAACTCGTTCTAAGAGATCACAAAGACTGGCGACTAGCGTATTTTCTTCAACGTCGGACAATGATTCTCCTCCATGACCTAATGCAACCGCTTCGGAACCCATTTTTTCAACCAACATTCTTTTCGTTTTTGATTTACAATCCTTATCATGAAAAAAATTAACATAACCAATTATTATTAATAAATCCATCTATTTTATTTATCTTTATAAATGTACCTTGAGCAATTTTTCAACGAACGTCCAATTTGCTTGCGCTATTAATGCTGGACTCATATCTGCAGACAATTTGGTTTGAGGTCGAGGCGATTGAGTTTCCTGAGGTGCCGGAGTTTTTCCATTCGACTCCATGGACTTCATTTTATACTTCCATTGTGTTTGACCCCTTCGACTACTGTCATGGGTACAAGATAAATCATTAAAATCGTATTTCAGAAACAAATTCAATGAGAAACTTTTGTATTAAAAAAAAAAAAAATATTAGATTGCATCAATTAGGAATTAAAATAAAAATTATATAGATAAATGAAACATTTTTGAACATTTTGATTTCGTATTACGTAATATAAAATAATAATACAAAATATACATGCATGACATTGGACAATTCCAGACGTAGATCTTACCGAAGTATGCTACACGTGAAGCAGGAAATAAGACAATAAATATTAACATATTTTGAATTAATTTAATTATACAAAAAAATATATTTGTATAAAATATTTACCTATGAGCCGGTTCCTTGTTTAGAGCAACACTATCTAATAGCGGAAAACTTCGAAAATACGCCGCTCTATGAGGAAGAATTTCAGCAGGTGGATTCGTTTCAAAATCTACGTTTGTCAATCTTTGTTCTAATACTTTTTGCGATTCTTCAACACTTGTACAAGGTTCATAGCGTGTCGACCGAACGATACCTTCCCCAACTTTTTTTCTGTAACGAACGAAAGTCTATTAATTTTTTATGTGCTAAAAAATATTAATATAGAAAATATTTATTTTGTTTTTTACATTTACCTTAACAGAGAAATTCTTTGATCAAAAACTCGTATATTAAAATCGAGCTCGCTCCACGTTGACATAACTTTGCTGTCGACAAGAGATGCGAACATTTGTGTCTCTAGAAATCTTGATAAAAATGGCAAATGCTGTGTAGGTTGATCGGATAAAAATGTAGCCTTATCAAAAACATGCATACTATCCCTATTATTCAACCATTCATCTTTATCCTGTAACATACAATCGTTTTTCTCGTTTATATGCAATTTTATTACAAGAAATGTATCACGTATAAATTTTATTTCGAACCTGACTTGGCTGAATAACGAAGTGTTCATAACTAGAAAATATTTGTACAAAACGGTTCAAAAAGGTTTCTCTAATGGCATTATTAAATATAAGCGTTTCCTGATACTCCTCTTGAGGAGAGAATATTCGCTCTTTCCCATTATCTTCCAATGAATCAATATCTTCCACATTCACTCCTATAAGAAAAATTAATAAGAAATGAAAATGACTATTACAAAAAATTTTCCAAGTCTAAATATACCTATATTTAGTACAAATATTTGTTTAGTTTATTTATACTACACAAATTTTTCTGTATTTGTTTCATTACATCTCCTATTAAATCTTTCAGCAATAAGGAAAAGAAAAAGAAGCGATTGTATAATAAGAAAATTAATAATTTATATAAACTTAAAATAGAATTATGTAACATTAACGATCTTCACCTGTCCTTTTAACAATATCTACTATCCTCTGTAATGTGTCTGACTGCGGTGTTGATTCCGGTCGATCCCAATCCAACACATCATGTAATGAATGTTTTCTACGAGGAAGATGAAATCCAGAACCAGGAAGCGTCAAACTACTAGTCATGATGTCACCGTTATAATGATTTATGACCATGTTATCAGTCCTAAAAAGTCATTTCGATGTTAACAAAATATAAATAAGTATATAGGAAACGATTGAACATTTTCAACTTACTTTCCTGTATGTGGTACTTTGTACTTGTTTAAGAGAGCTCTAATCTCAGCAATGAATTGCATTTTGTGAGGAAATACAGGTAACTCTTCCGGAAATTGGCTACTTTGCTTATCTATATCTACATAACAAAGATTTGCCTGCAATCAAAAAACATTTAATTCTTACAATTCATGTAAAGGATATTGGGAATTCTGTAAAACCAATTTTAAGAAGTACTAAATACTCACTTCACTGGCAATTTTCAGTACACCGCCCTCACTTTGCGCGTGTAAACCCATTATAAACGGTACCGGCGCGTCCAAGAAATGATGTAAACTGGCGGGCAATATCGGCACGTACACATGTTGCCAGGAAAACGGGAAAAGGAGCGCCGTTATGCACTCAGATACTACCATTAGCTTGTGGAAATCCGAACTTCTGAGCAACACTTGGTTCTCCAATAGAACGCACGTGAACAATTGAATCACGCAGTCCGCGCCAAGCCATGTGAACATGTCTTTCAGAGGATAATCTAGCATCGGTAGCTCTTGTGATGGCGTCGGCTGATGGATAACCAGCTCCAACGGTGATTTCGCTGGCTCATCGTTGGGAATGAAGAACTTTAACGACTTTCCAGGCAATGGTACCGGCACGTTGTACAGCAGATTGTATACATAAGACTCTAAGCTAAGACCAGGTCCTGGATGTCTAGGAACACATCTGTAAAGATGAACATTTAATTAGCTTAATAAAAAAATAGTAAAATTATCAGAAGATCCAAACTAATTATGAATAATTCAAAGATAAATTAATATTTCGAAATATCTTTTTTCAGACATGGTACTTATCTATCATTTTATTTTTTATTATTATTATTAAGAAATAGGAATTTTATTGAAGATATAGTTGAAAATTTAATTCTATATCTCAGCGTCGAAAAATATCGATGTCTAATTTACCTTTAAATAAAATGAATTAATAAAACAAATTTCCTAGAATTTTTCGATTTTTTAAATCTACAACTCAGTTTAAGATTTGAAAATTGTAAGATACCTTCAAAGAAACCTAAAGATCTTTTCAAAGAAGATCTTTCTAAGCTCTTTTATTAAACAGCATTATCAAACAAGATAAAGATAATGGGACATTAAGATGATAATATACACGTTTACTTACTTGTAAAGATTAGTAAGGAACGTTTTCGCGGCATGAAGGTAAGGCTGCTGGCATAGCAAGGATATCGATTTAGTCACTAGCAACTTGTCTTTGGTAGAGTCGTAGTAGCCTAATGCAGCACCTGGTGAATGTGCTGATAGCTTGAAATGCCGTGGCAACGATCGCGTGTTATGTCCATCCTGGCCTTTTCTTGCCCTGTAAATGCATTTATATCAAACCTCCGCACATTCCATTGTACCAATTTTTATCTTATAGTAAACTTTGGACTTATTCTCTTTCGGCACTTTACGATAAATTAACATCTTTAAGATAATACGGGGCATCTACCAAATATTATATCAGGAGTTTATGGTGAGAGAAAATAATTTATTAAAAAATAAAGAATAATAACACGTGTCCTTAAAATGTGATACAACCTCTTCCTTTTCTGTGTCAAGATATTAATGAGCAAAATTAGTTTCTGGAGATCATAACGATCGTTCGCACATTTCTATACTATACAATGAAAAAAAGAAAGAAATCTGAGATAGAACGTCAATTATTCGGACAATTAGAAAGATAATATCCCAATAAATCAATAGTAGTATGCCTGTTCGATTATTCAGACGAAACTATTCCAATATCTCCAACAGAAGAACTGATTACATTTCCAGATACATTTTATACCTTAATACCGTACACGTTTTTCCGGATATCTGAGCGACACGAAACTGAAGACTTTCATAATTGCTTTTACTTCATAAATGCAGAACAGTATAAAAGCTCCAGATCATATATGTGCCCTATCTTATAATTACTGCAAAACATAGCTTATTAATAAACGTTTCTACGTAGAGTTTCGTGAAAATGAATTTCTTTTTATATATGTTGCATGCAATAATTTGCAATCAACATTTCTGGGGATTTTAATCACCGTATAATTGATACGAGAATAAATTCCAAAACCGTGTCAGTATCGATATAGAATCGAAAGAAAAAATAACAATTATAAAACTAATATGAAAACGGATGTAACTACAACAGATATAATCAGAATTTCTCTCTAACAGTTATTTCCAATCAAATAATTCTACATAACCATTTTAACAAATGGAACGATATCATAATAGTTGCCAACTTCCGCGAGCTAACTTAAAAAAAAAAAAAAAAAAAAAAAAACTAAAAATCATCTCGCTTTCCAATTCAAATTTCACGAGCTCCAAATTGCCACTCAAAAATTAAAAGCAACTCTTTCTGTCCGTATCCATCCACACAATGCATCCAGTCAACTCGTCCAATGTTTTTCATTGCCATAAACTCTCGTCCAATCTAACAGAAGTTGGATTAGCTGTATCATTTAAGAACACGGGAGAATAAACAGCGCAATGAAGACTCACGTTGGTGGTGTACCGTTTTGGCCGCTGCTCAGTTCCGTGATGTGCATCGCCTGGAGGGTTTGCATAGCCGCGCATATTTTGCGATTCCGGCACTCCTCGTAGAAAACAAGACTGAACCCGTAAGTTCTGTGTCCGTCCTCTTTGGTGAGTACGAACGAGTGGAACGTCGGTTCCACCGAGTGTTTCTGCGTTCGGAATCTCAGGCCGCTCGGCAGGCAGAGCTGCAAGATTGAATATCTAATGACACAGACGCTCACACAACGCCTTTTCATTTCTACTACTCTTTCTTTCTTTCCTCTCCCTCTCTTTTCATTGCCGTCCACAACTGGGACGCAACTAGCGCAACCTATATAACACCGTTGATCGTGAACAGTGTCTATATACCCGGTTTACTATACGAACGTCGAGTATTTTGCACTTCTAATTTTACGTCCCAGTAATCCTACTAAACCTTGTCAAAAAGTACTGCTTCTTTTTCTTTTCTTGCAGTGTATTTTCCAGTGTAAATATCCGAAATCATGCGATGCAAACAAATGGATAAATGGACCGATGCTGATGGTATACAGAATATCAAAAAATGTTCATCGAGTGAAATAAAAAGCGATTAATCGATGTAGATCAAGATCGATTGTTAATTCGTAACTGGCGAACTTCGCGAAACTACTTTAGTGTTTGAAAAGTACTTTCTTTTGAAGTAGTATAAATTTTTAGCTGTAAGTCAAATAAAACACTTAAGTTCAGATAAGATTTACAGATATGTGAAATACTTTGCATTGTTTTATTTTTCCATCTAATAATTCTATGAAACTTTGTCAGAAAATATTTACCCTTTTTCTTCTCCTGCTTTTAAGAGTATCTTCAACGAAACTATACAACGTCACGTGAACGAAATAGTTGAATAAATAAAAGGGAGTAATGCTTATTCTGAATAAGTATGCTTCAGGTAAGAAACTTCTAAAAAGTTATATTCCGCGAGAAATATACTTCTTATACAAAATTTTATAGTTTTTCGCAGTGTGTGGCGTGTTAAATTTTAGCAAAAATTTTGTAATATTCATATTTCGTATATGTCGAGGTACTAGTATTAAACCTTACCAAAAGAAATAGAGTGAAAAATTAGGAATTAAAGAATACGATAATATTCTACATGTCGTAGTTTGGAAAGAATAAAAGCAATTCATAAAATTATCATTTTTCAAGAATGTAAAATGTATCGATGACATACCATGCAGACAGCGTGTTCGTCGAAAGGGTTCCATGGTACTGAATCTGGGTGATGTCCCAACACTTTGCTTTTATATGCTCGATCCAAAGGTGTACATTGTAAAGAGTCACCTGGAACAAAAATGGTAAAAATTCTTGTCAGTTTTAAGTTATTTAAAATATTTTCTTTAATACAAAGAAAAATCATATATAATAAAAAATTACAGTACAATAAATGTGTTCCATATAATATTTTTTCTTCATTTAAATTTTCTGCTACTTTTTTTTATAATAAACGTTGATATTGGTTTACAAATTTCATTAAATTATTTAAAGAAATCTGTGAACAGTGTCAATATTCCTTCAACATCATCCAAGGTTTCAACACAGTCGATAAGGTCGGAATATATCCAAATTAATCAAATGTACATATTGAATATGCATTGTCTTTAAGGAACGTGGAAGCGTGACATTTATAATGATAAACAACACGCTCCACAAATGATGAGCTGTAATACTTGTTAACGATAAGTGAGACCGTGACCTTTTAACCAAATACTTAAACACGCTCTTCGTGTCATATAAAGGTCTACCTTTTTAATCAATGTCCAAGCCGTTCCTTAAAATTAAACAAGGTATAACATACAGTTATTTCAAATGTCCTTAAATTTCCTACAAAGTTTGAAGACCTACCTAATCGTTTCAAATAAAAGCACCATTTCAATTCAAATCTTTACATCTTTCTATTCATTGTTTTAAAACATATAATTAGCCATTACAACAATTTTTTTCGTTTCTGATTTAAACTAACTTTGGATTTTTACTGTGCTATTGATCTTACTACGTTATTCATATATATAAATATGTAATAAACTGAATGATCTTGAGTATACACTGTTGAATTCATTCTAACAAATATTATGGTACAATGAATTAACGTACTCTATTTAAAAAATTATATTAACTTAAAATCTGCTAAGTTCATAGTCAAGAATAGCATTTAACCTACAATGTTCCCCTATATCAACTAATTCTCATAATACCTAATTTTGTCATATCTCTAACGATTCTCGAGACATTCCTACTTTTCCAGTTAAGAGAGAGACGCCACAATTTTACATCCTCGATCGCGAGATATTCGATCATTACATCATTCTCAACGCCTACATTCCCACACAATGTCGTCCAATCTCCAAACCTCCCAACACTTTCGACCCAACTGCCTGAGAGGAGCCTCTCTTCACGACGGAGTGTCATCACAGCGGAGTAATTAGTCCAAATTCCTCGCTGCACGGGAAATGTTCAAGTCGGTCAAACATTCTACAGCAAAAGTGACATATACGCTAGTCCAAAGTAAAAAAGGATTGCACATGTATGTATATATGTATATAAAAAAAAGAGATTACACGTTTAAAAAGTAGTTTCAGCAGCGGTGCATTTACTCCAGTTTGCACATTGTTCTTGGTCCAGCCGGCCTAAGTGCATCTTGGAGCTTCACTGTAATTCCTACAACAGGAGAAAGAGAGAGAGCGAGAAAGGGAGAGGGCTGTTCTCCCCCTTTCCTGAGAAAAATTAGAATCTCTCCACAGCAACGTCGGCAACTTGTTATTGAACGTGGTACGTATCCCAGAGCAGCTCGACCTGAATGAGACTGTTGAAGTCTTGGCGATGTTCCAGTTACCTCCTGCACGGTGAACACAACAGCACCCTTGTACAGGGTTAATCGTTCATGATCGAACAACCACCCAAGGAGGCAGCGAAACGTATACGATATAGGCTCAAGAATTTGATTACACAGAGAATATAATTGACAATCCACGGAAACGGAGATCTTACAAGCATTGAAGCTAACGTGAAGAAATATTGTCGTTTACTTCTTTTTGATTAAGGAATTGTCCCTCATAGATCAAATAGAATGATTAATTGCTATGGTACGCTTTGTGTGACTAGAAATGACGATACGATATTTGCAGTTGCAAAGAAGTTACAGAACTGTTTTCATGATTCAACATGCTGCAACTTCAATAACGCTTCTAGAGTTAAGCTGCGAAGTTTCAAGAGACTTTCACAGTTAGTTGCTATAGTGTAGTAATATTGAGTGAAGTCAGATGATCTTCCTTTTAGGAAGGTAAAAATTTAGGAAGTTGGAAAAAATGGGGAGGAAAAAACGAAAGAGTTGAAATATGAGTGCTCTGGAGTACAAGTGACTTGTAAAGTGGCTGCAGAAAGCAGTCACTTGGATTTAAAGAGGCTGCCGCTTTTAAATCAATTGTTTCTTTTTTTAATCCATTTGTACTAAAAATCATCGCGTCACGTTATTTTATAATACTTATTCATAAAAACTGAGAAAAGTCCACTTATACACAACCACCCTATAAGTCATTTATTGCTATTCAAAATGAGTAGCTCATTTTCTCATTAAATTTCCAACGTCAAGCCTCTGGTAATAATTCCAACATTCTTGCTATCCAATATAATCAAGAAGAGAAAGGACCTTCCAAACTTTCCATTAGATTGCCATGTTCAATTAACATCAAACTTTATCTCAAAATACAAATAGAAAAATTCCTTCTGTCCTCTTAAAACAAAACTTTCTGGCAATTTATCCCTAAATATTGTTTTGAATAATTCTCCTAAGAGTATGAAACGTTTAAAATCTTAACGAGCAAGTGCAAAAATCTATTGTAACTTCACAAGAACCAGGCGACATTTGCATAATTCTTCCACCTAGCTTCTTCCAAAAGAAGCTGCGCCTACCTAAGCCGCGTATCTACGGATCACGCAAGTGATTCACGAGCCTCTTCAATGCTTAGTACAAAAGCACTTTACAATAGTTACTTCGAATTACTCGATTAACCCCATTAACTTCAAGAATAATTATTATTTCTTAATTAATGTATGCTCTTCGTTAACGTAAAGCTCTTCCATACATAGATACACATAGAATACGTATACATGTATTGCCTGCAAAAGCATTTAGCCGATGATCTCGTGAAATATAATATCACAGTACTATTTTTGTCTAGTTTGAATTCCACCGCCACCGGCGACTGCACATGCGTACAAGTAGCTGACAAAATAAAAGTATTAAATGCGTTATTTACACGAGAGCTACATTATTAATTTGGTTTAATCGATAAAAAACAGTCACAGTTCAAATTAAGTGACAAATCAATATAAATAACGAAACAGTTTTCTGAGATTACCCTGATATGTCAGATATTCTATCCTATGATTTCTAATATTTTATCTCCAAACGTATATCTCATATGCGTATTGCGGTAGACGTATCGTCGTGTGAACGGACATTTATGCGGTCGGTGAATACGCGATCTTCGTCGCGTCCTTTCCAACAAAATATCCCGACCAAACGCTTTTGGCATCCTTCCCCGTCGAAATTACCGAGGACTGCTGCCATGACAGTTATCACTGGCGAAGCAACGCCGTAAAAATCTTTATTTTCCTTAGGCTGAATCGAAGAAAAGATACGTGACGAGGGTTTCGTTGCGCCCCTCTTTTCCTAACGATATTCTCCACTGCCACTAGCCACAATTCCAGCCGATTGTTCCGGAAAGAAACTCTGGACAAGACCTGCATTGTGTTCTTCCATCCGGCGGAATTTTTGTAGCTTTTGCTTTACCCGATTGTCCTTTATTTCGTTCGCAAAGTATTCATGTGAAATTTAGCAGAAATTTGTTGGAATTCTTTTGCTGGGTCCAAGATAATATTTTGGAAAATGAAAATTTAATAAAATTGAGATTTTCATATACTTCTGGTGAATTCTTGGATCTTTTTTTTAACGTTCTATTGGAATTTATGTGACCTATCTGAATTTTTAGATTAATATAAATTTTTTTAGTGACGATATTAAGTGCGATATGTACTTATAAATCCAAATCAATTTTTATAGTCATTTTTCATCTCATAGGACTAGGATACTATCTATAAGAAATAATAGTGTTGTTTCAACTGAAACGATCTTTTTCAAGCCAGTCGTCATGCAGTTTGTATTCAGAATTATTATTTGCAGAATCGATTGCAATCTCATCCATCTGTTCTGGGTAGTGATCTCGAACGAACTCTGCTGTACACCTCTCTTGTGTGTTAATTAAGTTTTGCATTTATTTCAATATGAATGGATTCATTTACTCTGCGTACACGGCATACAGACGGAATCGATTCGAACTGGTTGTTCTAACAAACGCACAGGAGACGATTTGAAATTGTTCTTATTCATTGTCTCGATATTTTAATTAATTTTACGTGTTATGTATAATTATCTGAAACAAAAGTTCTATAAGCTGCCAGGCAAATCCAATCCCAGGTAATATGAATTACATTACTATAGTTTTAAAGACAAATAAAATATTTAATTTGTATCATGTATACTTTGTAGTTACAGTCAATCACAAAAATATTAAGGCATACATTAGTTCTTAGTTCTTTCACAGTTTCACTTTTCCACCAGTGACATAAATAATATGTTTTTAATCATTGTTTTATCAAAATTAAATTAAAATATATATCTTAATATCTGTATAACTTGCTACATAATTATACCATAAATGTAATCACCTACAATAACAAAAATACCGTTATTGAAGCCCTAAAAATTGATAGCTCGTTATTGTTTCATTAATTACATTGGTTCTCAGAAACGAAATATGCCTCGTTCGAATTCAATTGGTGTAACAGTTAATATAGAGTACAGTATTAAAGAAAACCGCAAAACCGTTATTGCACAGCACAAGTGTTATAATCTCGACAGAGATTTTCGCTGCTTTAATACCTTTGAAGTTAACTATAACATTTATTTATTGTACCATGAACAAATACAAGAAATTGAACTCTGTAATGACATACTACGAACTCTATCATAATACCGAGACACTGAAGACAATTTGGTGAACTCCATCAATTTGTTTCTATTAAGAAATTTCTAAAATAACATCAACCACTAATGGATACTATCACTGAAACTGAGCAGAAAAAATTCATTATATAATCACCTTAATAATTAATAATTAATTTTATTACGTCCAACTATACGATTCAAAAACAAATTACGTCTAAAGTAATGCACACCCTTAACATCATACCACAATTATAACAAAAAAATTCCCGAACCCCTT